AGACAAAATATCGCCGACAATTCTGGCTCTGAATTTTTACGCAAAAATCGAAAACTGTCGCACCTGTCACTTTTATGAAATAGGCCCCAGATTAACCGCGCCGTTACTCATGTGTGCATGGCGTATGAGTAACATTCCCTTCTGCTCATTTTTCATACAAAAAATTTTTTCGCACTTTCATTTGACCACTCAATCCCTTTTTATTTATCCATCGATTTTCTTTATTAGTAGCTTTTTTTTTGAAACAGATTAGGCTTTAATAAAAGTAAAAAAATAAATATTTACATAGAAACTGTTATTTTTTTCAATTTTTTCCCTGTTAAACTATATACGTTTAATAGCTGTAGTGGACGATTTCGTTTTAATAAAAGTAGCATAATAATATTAATTGCTGTATTAAAGTTCATAATTTAATCATCTGATGTAAAAATTAATAAAGTCAAATAAGACGTTTTGCTACAGATTTAAATTGTATCCATACTTGGCCACTGCCAGCTTGAACTGAGTAAAGCTAATGGCTAAAGAAAATTTATTTTACAACTCTTCAAACCCTCAGATTTTAATATGTTTACATATTAAAGTAAAACCGAAAAAGGAAAATAATATTTTACTTATTTCATAATTTTTGGTTTTGCAATATGCCACTGTTCAACATACGAAATTCCTTCATCCATGAAAATGCCAGCATGTTTGTGTATAACTACTTACATACATTTTTTATTTTTTTTTATTTTATTTCCTCATCTACAAATTGCTTATTGCATATTGCTGCCTTGAAGTAATAAACTTAAAAGATATACAAAGCAAATTTTAATCTCAATTCTGGCTTTTACACAGCCATGCAACAGCAAATACTGTTTATTGCTTACGAATTTATGATCAAATCGAACTTCAATATCATATCGATGGCTGAGTGGAAGATCGACCTATCTCGACAGCCAGTTCGAAAACATTCTATCTCAAAAAACTTTTCAAGAACGCTCTATTTCAGAATTCGTTTGAAAAATGCCCTATCTCAGCTGCCGATTCAAAAACGCCCTATAACAGCATATTTTCAATACATTTTGAAGTGAGATAGGGCATTTTTGAACCGAATTTTGAGATAGGGTGTTTTTCAATAAAATTCTGAAATAGGGCGTTCTTGAAAAGTTTTTTGAGATAGAGCGTTTTCGAACTGGCTGCCGAGATAGGTCGATCTTCCACTCAGCCATCGATATGTACATTAGACTGCATCACTCCCCATACAAAAAAAAAATCGGTACTATTTTTCCATTGGAATTATAAAATCTATTATATTTTAAGAAGTCCACCAAAATATTTCGAAAAAATATTAAGATTTAAGTGAGCTGGACCAATTTCAAATTACCTCCAAAAATGGAGTTTTTTATGAATAAAAATAGTTTCTTAACATTTTTTTTTTTTGAAAAAATCCCCTCAAACGACGAAACGGTTTAAGCTTAATAAATTTGCATAAAAATATTTTTAAAAAATTTAAAAAAAAATTTAACGGAATCGTAATGATGAGATTTTTGATGCTGTTTTTTAACTTTTTTCAAAGATTGGTATAAGAAAAACTTGAATAACTGAGCCTAGATTTAAGAGATCTCGGTGGAAAGGTATTTTCTCACCCTTTTTATTTCTTTGCTAACAAACTCATTCAAAGGATGAAAGAGAAAGGTAGAATGAATGAACGTCATTCAAAGTTAAATTAAGATGTGTTGGTATTTGAAAAAAAAATGAATGATTTTTTTTGACAGAAATAAAAACAGTGTGAAAATACCTATCTATTGAGATCCCATAAGTCTAAATCAGAAAAGTTTTGGCCCAGTTATTCAAGTTTTTCGTAAATCATCTTTGAAAAAAGTTTTACTTTCATCATCAAAAATCTCATTCTTACGATTCCGTTGAAAATATTTTTAAATATTTGTATGCAGATTTTTTAAGCTTAATCTGTTTTGTCATCTGAGGGGACTTTTTCAAAAAGTTCTTTACGAAACTATTTTTATTCATAAAAAACTCCATTTTTGGAGGTATTTTCAAATCGGTCCAGCTCACTTAAATCTTAATATTTTTCCCAAATATTTTGGTGAACGTCTTAAAATATAATAACTTTTGTAATCCCGGCGGAAAAACCGCAACTTTTTTTGGTGATGCAGTCTAATGTACATACATATGTATATATGTACATACTTATATAAACATATCTCTCCGGCTATATTGAAGCGATTTCAAGCAACTTGGGACTTTTCCTGGATTTGTTGTTTATTTATCTTCCTTTTTTTTAATAGGGGTGTACCTACCCCTTTTTTATGCAAACGTTTACAATTTCGCTTTATTATGCATCGGTATGTATGTATGTATTTATATGCATTCATGTATCACATTTCCGGCGCATATGCAGTTAGTT